GATGTTGGTACTTCACTCTGACGGTGTAGTAGTTACACATTGAGCCATAATCCGTAAGGTCAGCAGTTCGAAATGGAGCTTCTACTCCCATAGCCTTGGAAACTCAGAGGCATTCTATCTTGTCTTACAGGGTCACTATGGAGTTGCAATCGATTCGATAACAGTTGAGTTTTTTATGTGGTTCAGTTGCATATATTATAAATGTCAGTAAGGTCAAGTTAATTGGTAATATTATCCTCTAATCCTTTCAAATTTTCTACCCAGTTGTTTTATCCATTATTGAAACTGAAGTCTTTTTTTTTAAATCATTTTATTGGGGGCTCATACAACTCTTATCACAATCCAAACATACATCCATTGTGTCAATCATATTTGTTGCCATCATTCCCAAAATATTTGCTTTGTACATGAGCCCTTGGTATCAGCTCCTCATTCCCCTCTTCCTCCCTGCTCCCCCCTCCCTCATGAACCCTTGATAATTTATAAACTATTCCAATTTGTCATATCTTACACTGTCTGATGTCTCCCTTTACCCATTTTTCTGTTGTTCATCTCCCAGGGAGGAGGTTATGTGTAGATCCTTGTAATTGGTTCCCCCTTTCTACCCCACCTTCCAGTATCTCCACTCTCACCACTGGTCCTGAAGGGATCATCTGTCCTTGATTCCGTTTCCAGTTCCTTTCTGTACCAGTGTACATCCTCTGGTCTGACCAGATTTGTAAGGTAGAATTGGGATCATGATGGGGTAGGGGTGGTGGTGGTGGTGGGGGAGGAAGCATTTAGGAACTAGAGAAAAGTTGTATGTTTCATCTATGCTACATTACACCCTGACTGGCTCATCTCCTCCCCTTGACCCTTCTGTAAGTGGATGTCCAGTTGCCTACAGATGGGTCTTGGGTTCCCAATCTGTATTTCTCCTCATTCACAATGATTTTATTTTTTTGAAACTGAAATCTTAAGTCTTCAACTATAAATCAGGTAGAATATTGGTAGGTTTGGCAGTTAGATTTTATGTCAACTTGAATTTGTGTGACCATGTAGGGGCAGAGCACAACCTGTGAATCAAGTGGTAGCCTGATGACACCTCCTTGGGGGTGTGGCCTTTTATATAAGAGTGAGAGGCATGAGAATTACTCTCTCTTACCCTTTGCTTTCATTCTTGCTGGGGCTGTGTCTACATCCAAGGGCAACCCAATGTAAACCAACTGGCCCTGAGAGCTGTTGGCACCCTGACGTATTTCCACTGACCTTGGAGACACTAGACCACTGGTTCTCAAACTTCCTAATGCTGCAACCCTTTAATACAGTTCCTCTTGTTGTGGTGACCCCCAACCATAAAATTATTTTCATTGATACTTCATAACTGTAATTTTGCTACTGTTATGAATCATAATGTAAATATCTGCTATGGAGGATGTATTTTCATTGTTACAAATTGAACATAATTAAAGCATAGTGATTAATCACAAAAACAATATGTAATTATATATTGTGAAATATTTATTTCTAATGACAAATAAATGAAATTTTGTCTTGAAGCACGGTGTAGCATGGCTAACAGTCTTCATGCTGGTACTCGATGTGGACGTATCTGCAGGTGGGTGGACCCACCTGGAGATGGATAGCAGAGCAGTGTCTTGGTTCCAAAGACCATCAGAAATATGTGTTTTCCGATAGTCTTAGGAGACCCCTGTGAAAGGGCTCGGGACCCACAGGTTGAGAACAGCTGCACTAGACTGTGTACCCACCAGCCTATGATCTCCCTGCTTCCTGCTTACCTTTTGCAGTTATCCGCCTGCAGCTATGTGAATCTGCAGAGGACCCTGGCTAGCATCAGACCTATGGACTTGGGTTGGACTGGGCTTGGGCACCTCCTTGATGTAAAGTTGCTTCTGGATTTAAAGTTCTTTCTTTTACATAGATGAGTGTCACTAGTTTGTTTCTCTACACAACCTAGCCTAACAGAGTAGGTAAATGGATGACTTATCTTATAAGGATCAGCACAAAGCTGGTTCCTATGAGACATAGGTTAAAGATTTCCGAATGCCCAACTTTTACATAGTTGTACCACTCCTTCATCTCTAAAATCAAGTATGTCCCCTCCCTTTAGAATTTGAGCTTGGTTTTATATATATAGCTGCAGGGTCTCACAGAACTCATAAATGTATTTACAGTTAAGTGGTTTATTAGGGGAGTAATAATGTATAATTCAGGATCAGGAATAACCCACAAGTATCAGGAACAACTCAGGATACAGTTCTTGATCAGGGAAGTTTCGTTTTCTTCCCCTCACCTGCTGAGCCCTGCTCAGGGCCTTGTCGTTCAGCTAGGGACCTTCTCTGGCAAATGTTACCTTTCTTAGCGCTGTTGTTAGCTACCACCATCAGTCATTGCTCATTGGTCTCATGCCACTGTGCCCTTGCTACAACAGTGCCACCACATTTCTCTGTCTTCTGTGTTACAGCTTCTTCTCCTTCTCTCATTCTCCTCTGTGTCCCCCTTCCTACTGGGATGGGAAAACTCACCAATCTCCTCATTAGGGATTTAAACGCCTGATTTCCATGGTTCTACTCTCACAAGGGTCTGTGCAGTTTATTTGTATTAACAGCAAATTGTCCAATACCCTTTTCATGACTGACAGTCACTTCATTTATACAGTCCCACCTAATCATTGCATTGGAATTACAAAGACTATAGCTTTTGCCCACTGCCATCGAGTAGATATTCGAACTCATCGTAACCCTATAAAATAAAGTAGAATTGTAACTTTTTACGGGAGCAGAAAGGCCTGTCCCTCTCCCTCAGAGCAGCTGATGATTTTGAAATACTAACCTTGTAGATCACAACCCAACTCAGAACCACTATGGCACCAGAGCTCCAAGACTGTAGTTATAAGGGTCATATTAAGTACATCACTGGACAGCAGTTGGTCTATCAATCTCATTCTTGAGAATCTCTTATCACTTCCCATATGTGGTAGTTATATAATCTGGTGTCAATTTGAGGATTAAGAGTGTAGGGGTGGAGTCTAGCCTCTCAATCATTGTATAACCAATGAGGCTTCTGTGTGGGCATGGCCTGCTCCTGAGGATTCTGGGAATTTTTATATTCTTCCTGGGAGGCAGGAGACACTCTCGGCTCACTCCCTGTGAGACATTTCTGAGGAGAAGCCACATGAAGTTACCCTGAGGCAATCCGAGTTGAGGGCTAAAGGAACCACTTGGAGACCCCTGCCAGCACTGAGATGCTTAAAATGCCACTGGATCCACAAGACTTCCAACCCACTGGCCTGTGATCTTCCTGCATTCAGCATCATTGCATGTGTTTTGTGAGTCTGAAGAGGGTTTTATAGATTGATATCAGACATATGGGCTAATATAGGACGTATGGACTTGATCTGGACAGGATGGGATGTTTTCTCAATATTCAATTGCTGTTGTATATAAACCACTTTCGTATATACATGAGTGTGCCTATGAATTTGTTTCTACCCAGACTAGCACACCATACCTGCTTTGTCATTCCTAATCTCTCAAAAGGCAACTAACTTCCTTTCACTTCACTTAGAGGAACTTCTTCAGCAGAAGTTGGTATGGACCAAAGTTGGGTTTAGGTTTGTTTTGGCCAATCCAGTAAACTGTTAAACGTCAAAGATAACTTCTTAGACTGTCACAAATAATATAATCTCTGGCAAGACTCCACAAAGCAACACCTCTCTCACAATCTGAAATTATAACCTGGTTTCCTTGGTCAAATACCCAGAAATGCTACGTTCACATCATCACTCTTGAGTAGTGTTAACCCAACCCATTACTGTTTTATATGAAAATCGACCTTTCATTGACTTTTTATTTTGTTCCACTGAAAGCCTGTTAAAAGTGCATGTCATCTATCATCCTCTAACTCTCTGCCATGGAGTCAGTGCTTACCCATAGCGACCACTAGCACCACCACCAACCACCACTGTCAGTTTCCAAGACTGTAACTGTTCGTGGGCGTAGAAATCAAAGTCTTTCTTCCTCGCAGCTGCTGGTTGTTTAAAACTGCACCATAGATGCCCAGCCCGCGTCATAAGGACTGCGCCACGAGGGCTCCTCATGTCAACTATACTATTGGATAACATTATTTGTGGCAAATGAATCCTCGGCCATCTTAACCAGACCCCAAGGAAATTGTGCAACACTGATCTCAGTTCTCCCAATTTCACCTTTATTTCCCGAAATATTTCCACGGACACACCAATATTCCTTCATACCCTGGTGCCCCTTTTCGGGTTCTTCACACTTTGGTCCTTTGCGTACAATAGGCGGGGGTATATTGGCAAGCACCTTCTTGAGAGACTCTTTGTTGGTTGCCAAATAGATGAACATCCAGCTCCCCAATAGCCCAGGCATTTGTAAGCTTCACTGATCCAAAGCAAGGGAAATTAGGAAGGGAAACCCCCAGCCTCCTCCCCCCACCCCCACCCCAATCCACCGAGTCAGAAACCCTGGACACAGGGCCCACCAAATCAGTCTTTTAACCAGGCCGCCAGTGAATTCTGATGCACGCAGGGAATTCTGGAGGCGACAACGGAGGGTATGAAAAAAGTTAGAATGGAAGCCCACCTGCGAATCCGAGAGCTGACTGGACGAGGGCAGGGGGCTATTAGGGGGTAACGATGGAGCCAGTACCACGACGTAAACAGAACAACCAGCCCCACAGAGCTTTCCCAACAGATAAAGGATTTTGACATTCACCTCAGGAACCAGCAGATAAGCAGCAAGGGATCTGTCCTTGGCCACGTCGCTCCTCACTGCGGCTCAGCAGAGGGCACCTACGCGGAATCTCAAGAGTTAAACCCTAGCGCCTTCAACTCCCTCAGCAACCTTATCCTTCCCGCCCCGCCAGCACGCACACTGCGCGTGCGCGTGCGCGTTCAGGCTCCTGTGCGTCAGTGCGTACGCGCTAGCGAGCCATAGAGCTGAACAGACCTCCGAGGTTCCTAGAGCGGATAAGGCCATGGCCACCTCGCCGGCTGTGGCGCTTGGTCCGGACCCGCTGGGCTCCCGGGGGTGCAGGTTTGTGGGTCTCCGGTAGGCGGGGGAACCGGAGTCGCTTCCCGAGGGTCTGCGCAAGGCAGCCAGGAAACCTTTCGCGGTTTCTTAATTGTGTGGCGAGTCAGTGCCGCCCCGGCCGCGCCTGAGCCGGCCTGCGGGACTAGGCGGTCGGGTCGGTGGTTGGGTTGGCCCGGGGTCAGCCCTTGCCAGGCCTTGGACACAAATGAATGAGCCCCTAAAGCTGGGGCGGGCGGCCGTCCTGGGGAAGTGGGGGTGGAGTCACACACATTAGCCGACCCTTGGGGCATCAAACAACTTGAATTAAAGGGAGGAAGGAGCCAAAGCAGGGTGTCTTCATGATGGATCAGATGGAGTAGAGGGTAACGCATTGGGCTGCTAACCGAAAGGTCAGCAGTTCGTAACCACCAGCCAGCCGTGTCATGGAACGAAGATGAGACTTTCTACCCCAGTGAATATTTAGAGTCTGGTCGGCAACCCACAGGCGCAGTTCTATAGGGTCTCTATGAGTCGGAATCGGTGGCACTGAGAGAGATTGGCAGAGAAACAGTATTAACCAGTAGGATAAAATCCTGAGGCTACCGAGCGCAGCCTTATCTTCCCATTTATATCGCGGTTTGGTAGCGTTTATTTCAATTATGCTTGAAGATCTGTAGACCTAGAACGATGGGAGCCCTGGTGCCATCGTAGGTTACGCGTTGTTCTGCTAACTTCAAGGTCAGCAGTTCGAAACCACGGGAGAAAGTTGAGGCATTCTACTCCCGTAAAGATTTACAGTCTCAAAAGCACCCAGGGTCAGTTCTACCTTGTCCTTGTCGAGTTGAATCGACTCGATGGCAGTAAGAAAGCTCCCCAAGATGCGGAATATAGTGGCTGGCTCCTGGATGATGGGGGCAGGAAACGTAATAAAATTTGAGAAAAAGCCACTTCAAAACTAAGTAAGATTTTTGTTTTCTTCCCTTCGTTTATATGTGGAGAATAGTTCCCGTGGTCTAGCCTCAGAAATTGCATCTCCAGTCTCCCCAATGACTCCCTTCTCAACCCAGTGGGTACCCAGGTGTCTCCAAGTCTCAGACACTTGGGTGAACAAGAGAAGTTTACTGAGGAAATGGTAATTCTCCAGTTGCTCACTGAGGTGTCCCGTGTCCAGTTGCAGCCCATGGAGATCCAGTTCAATTATGAATCGCAAGAACACCTGTCAGGTGAGAAGCAATGTAATACAGCTAGTGGCTCAGGTGAGGAGGTTCGCCACTCTTGCTATACTAGTGTCTTCAATACTATTGATACTCATTGCCCACACTTACTCTGTTAGGTTGTGCTATCCCTTTGATGATCCAAGATGAGCCACTATTTTGATTTCTAGCAATTGGGTTCTGATGGAGGCCTGTCTGCTCTTAAAGACCGTGCCATCCTTTTTTCTTTTTTTCCCATCGCCACAACCCCACTGTTTCTAGGGTTTAGTATTTCCCCTTTACATTCCTTAGGATATCTTTCTCATAGCCTATCATGGTGTACATAAGTGTGTCTGACAACCTGGACCTAAATACTAGCATTAACACTTACTAACTGGTTCTGTAAGCTTGAGTAAATTACTTTTCTCCCCTCACCATTCTGTTTTCCCACTTGGAAACTGTATAGTAATTCATACCTTGAGTGTTATTTTGAAGATTATCCCAATTATCTTTTATTGCATTACAAAGTACCCAAAAACTTAGTGAGCAAAAACAAGAGGCATATTTTTAACTGTTAATTTTGAATTGGGTAAAAGCTTACAGAGAAGATCATGACTTTTATATCCAAATGATTCATATACTTTCTGTTCTGACACTCGTTGGAGTCCCCTTAATGTGTCGCCACCCACCCACTTTCTCCCCATGTTTTCTGTCTCCATTCCTTCCTCCCTCCACCCAACCCTTCTGAACTTTTTCCTTGGGCAAATGCTGCCACCTTGACCTCAGATTAACTTAAGGTGTGCACACCTCACTTTCTCAGTTGTTTGGCTGCAATTGAGCCTCAGGTGAGTTTAATTCCAGAGCCAAAGAGTGACCAGTTGCCATAGTCTTGGCAGTTCTACCAATCTGAATTCAACAAGCAAGCCTGATCTCTTTCATGATTCTTCGTTGTGTTCCACGTTGTGTTCCACGTTGGTCTTCCACTCTGTCCAGGACTGTCTAATGCAGTTCCTTTCAGAGCAATTGGCAGTGGTCACTGAGCACCGACTAGTTCTTCTTGTCTTTCCATTCTGCAGACCAATAGTCCATAGTGGTCTGTTTTCCACTGGACGAATTGCTTTACTGTGTCCTCAGTTTTCATCATCCTTTCCTTCAAACAGGAGGAGACCAATACTTGCAGCTTAGATGGCCCGAGTGCCTAGACTTATGATGAGAAACAATAGCTTCACCTTTTGATAGTTTGTTTAATAATGGTTTCTATGATTCGGTTGCATTTTTTATTTACCCTTTTAAAATTGCCAGGTCACATAGCAAGAATAGGCTAACATTATGAAAAACTGCTAGAATTTTCTAAAGTTTATGTATCGTTTTACATTTCCCTCAGCAAGGCTTCAGTTCTTCATCCTTGCCAACACTTGGTAACGTCAGCCTTTATAGTTTTAGCCAGTCTAATGGGTATTTAGAACCATAGAGGCTCAGTGAGTTAAGCCACTAACCAAGTACCACTAACCAAGAGGTTCAGCAGCTTTAACCTACTAGCCAAGTCTCAGGAGAAAGATGAAGCCATCTAGTTCCACAAATACTTACAGCCTTGGAAACCCTGTGGGGCATTTCTTCTCTGTCCTCTGGGGTCGCTATGAATTAGAATCCACTCAACGGCAGTGGGTTTGTTTGTTCATTTAATGGGCATTTGCCAGTATTTCCTTGTGTTTAATGTACATTTCTCTGATGACGAGTGATGTTGAACATTTGGTCAAATGCTTACTGACTTCATCTAACTTTTTTGTGTAGTGTCTATTTAGGGGTTTTGTTCTTTTGTGTTCTTACTTTGGAGTTGTAAAAGTTCTTCATAAATTCTGGATTCAAATTCATTGTCATACATATATATTTGATGCATATTTTATTCTTTCATTTGGTTTAACTTTTTTTCCCTTAGCAATATTCTGTTGATGACAGTACTATAATGTTGATGAGGCTTAGATGATTCATGCTTTTATGATTCATGTTCTACCTAAGATCTTTGCCTTACTCTCAAGTCATAAGTAAAGATAGTCACCCATGCTTTCTTCTAGACGTTTTATAATTTCATGTTTAGGTTTATATTACATTTCTAGTTAATTGTATACGATACCAAAAAAAGTCACTCTATAGACTTAGGCTGCACAATCATGTACAAATGATTACTGTGTACATGTGTAACATCCACATGTGATTAAGGTGGACAAGTACTATTAACACTTATAAATGAGCTTATTGGAGTAATATACTAAAACCAACTATTTGTATATATTAGCAATGAAAAATTAGAAACTAAAATTTGTATTTTTTCATTTTAACCAAAAAAAATGAAATACTTAGAAATAAATTCAGCAAAATGTGTACAAGATTTATATAATGTATAATTTTCCAGAAGCCATGGAATTATAGCAGGCTAACTTGTTAGCTTGCAAGTAGAATAAATTTTCAGCTTTTTACGATCCTTAACCGTAAAAAGGATGGGATGCTAAGAGAGTCATGGCTTTCTGAAAGACGAAGTATAAGGAACTCACAGGACTGAGGAAACTCTATTGTAATTGATGGTGAACATATTGACCAAATTGTATGGTGAACTGGGCACGAAATGTTTCATGTTGTCTGGCAATGAGGAGGAATTGGGGAAGTGTGTGTAAACTAAGTTCAGGAAGTTCAAAGACAACTGGCTAAATGATTGTTAACTCCTTTTCAGGGAGCCTACTCCCCTAATTCAGGAGTCAGCCTCAGGTGACTTCATTGTAACCACAAGTATAAAGATTCATCTTGGGTGGACAGAAGATTCTACCCTCTTTCAGCATACAGTGTCAGAGACATATATCCATACTGAACATAAATAGAGGGATATTTGTGTTTGCTATGGACATAAACAGACAAATTATAGAACTCTGACTTGTTGGGTGGGGTGCCTAATGCTTTTGAAGAAAAAACAGCTAAACCACCGTACTGCTCAGCCTCTCCTGCAGTCTATACTGCCAAACTCCAACCACTTGGAAATAACAGTAAAAGGTTTGGAAGGATTTTTTTGCAATGGGCCTAGGTTCTTTGTTGTTTCTTATTTGATACTACAAATTATTATGTGCAATATGATATCTTATCCCTTAATTCAACAATGCTATTATTTTGGTATATTTCAGTTTTTTAGACTGGGTAGTATAAATAGATGCTTTAAGTGAAACCTTACAAAATTATATGTGATAAAAAGTTTCTCTTCCTCATGCCTCTGGCATATGAGTTCCATTTCTCTGCACAAGTAATCACTGTTAGTATTTTCCTGGATATTTTTCTAAAGGCACTCCTTAGCCCTCTATCTGAGTGGCATTATAAACGATCATTTTTAAGGTAAATGACAGATGTGCAACATGATTTTCTCTTTGGAAGCCTAAGGATTTTTCTACTAACAAAAATCAAATACCGTATACAGTATACTCGTATGTAAGCCGGTTTTTCAGCACATTTTTAATGCAGTTTTTGTGGTAAAATTAGGTGCCTCGGCTGATATTCGGTTCGGCTTATACTCGAGTATATATGGTAGTTGTATGGAAACCCAGGTTTGAAGTGGTTGCTATACCTAAGGTCTGAGATCATTTATCTCCATGTCTTTATTTTGAACCCAGTGTATATTTTATACTAGGTGTTTATCAATTTTTCTACATTTTCTCAGATTTGAGGGAAGATACCTCAAGTAATTGAAGTACCTTTCTTCCTCCCTCCTTCCTTCCCATGTTTGGCCCAAGTAAGTTGGCAGTGCCAGATAAAAACCCAACTAACTCTGCATTGTTTTAGATTCTTTCACACCACTTACTTTATGTACATTAGCAAGTTGCTTATATATTTCATCAGTTAAACTTTATTATTATATTAAGCTTTAGTTAAATGATCCATTACATCTTGATTCTTCCAAGTTTGCCTATGAGAGGGTATTTTTCAGTCTTTTTGAGCACTCCCCTATTAAGATTTTTTTAATAGGTACCAGTAAGTACTGATATGTTTCGCCTGAAACTTTCTTACACTATGAAGAGCCTGTTCTATTTGGATTTTGTTTATTGTTCCAGATGGTGAGACTAAAACCAAGCTTGGAGCGTCACCTTCAAAAGAGGATGTTTCAGCAAAAAGTGAGCAATTGATTGAAGGTTCTGGCAAACCCAAGGAGGATATTCTCCAGGATTCTGACTGCAAAGAATTCTTTGAATTTGGGGAAACATTAAATGAGAAAGGTCAGAACCTTCTTAAAAGAAGGCAATATAGCTGTGATGAATGTGGGCAAAGCTTTGCCTGGAGTGCAGGTCTTATTAGGCATCAAAGAACCCATTGGGAGAAACCCTATGAGTGCGATGAATGTGGAAAGGCCTTTCGTGTCAGCTCAGCATTGGTTCTACATCAGCGAATTCATACTGGGGAGAAGCCTTATCCTTGCAATTGGTGTGTGAAGAGTTTCAGTCGGAGCTCAGACCTTATTAAACACCAGAGAATCCACACTGGTGAGAAACCTTACAAATGTGATGAATGTGGTAAAGCCTTCAGTCAGAGCTCCGATCTTATTATACACCAGAGAATCCATACAGGAGAAAAACCCTATCAGTGTACTTATTGTAGTAAAAGTTTTAGCCAGCGTTCAGACATGGTTAAACATCAGAGAATCCATACTGGAGAGAAGCCTTATACGTGTAATCACTGTAATAAACATTTTAGTCAGAGTTCTGATGTTATAAAACATCAAAGAATTCACACTGGTGAGAAACCATATAAATGTGATGTATGTGGAAAAGCCTTTAGTCAGAGCTCGGATCTTATTTTACATCAGAGAATCCACACTGGAGAGAAACCATATCCATGCAGTCAATGTAGTAAAAGTTTCAGTCAGAACTCAGACCTTATTAAACATCGAAGAATCCACACTGGAGAGAAACCTTATAAATGCAGTGAATGTGGAAAAGCTTTTAATCAGAGCTCAGTTCTTATTCTGCATCAAAGAATTCACACTGGAGAGAAACCCTACCCATGTAATCAGTGTTGCAAAACCTTCAGTAGGCTTTCTGATCTTATTAATCATCAGCGAATTCACACCGGAGAGAAGCCTTACCCATGTGATGAGTGCAATAAAATGTTTAGTCGCAGGTCAGATCTTGTTAAACATCATAGAATCCATACAGGTGAGAAGCCCTATGAATGTGTTGAGTGTGGGAAAACCTTTAGTCAGAGCTCAAACCTTATTCTACACCAGAGAATCCACACTGGAGAAAAACCCTATCCATGTAGTGACTGCGCTAAAAGTTTTAGTCGTCGTTCAGACCTTGTTAAACATCAAAGAGTACACACTGGAGAGAAACCTTATACATGTAATCAGTGTAATAAAAGTTTTGGTCAAAGCTCAGACCTCACTAAGCATCAGAGAATACACTCTGGGGAAAAGCCCTATCACTGTGATCGTTGTGAGAAAGCCTTCAGCCAGAGTTCCGACCTCATTCTTCATCAGAGAATCCACACTGGAGAAAAGCCCTATCCATGTACACAGTGCAGCAAAAGCTTCAGTCAGAACTCGGACCTTATCAAACACCGGAGGATCCACACTGGGGAAAAGCCATATCCCTGTAAAGAGTGTGGAAAGGCGTTCAGTCAGTGCTCAGCACTTATCCTACACCAGAGAATCCATACTGGTGAGAAACCATATCCATGTGTTCAGTGCGGCAAATGCTTCAGTCGACGTTCCGATCTCAGGAACCATCGGAGAGTCCACACGCGTGACAAGCCATATGGATGTGACATGTGTGAAACAGCCTTGAGCACCTGTACAGATCTCTCTGAACACCAGAGGATCCACTCTGAAGAGACACTTTTCCAGTGTGTGCATTGCAGCAGGCGTTTTAGCCAATTCTCTGAGCTCACTAGTCACGAGAAAGCCCATTCTGGAGATGGCGGTATGAAGGTGCTAGGAGAATCTCTAACATACACGCCAATTTTATTCAGCACCAGAGAGACCGTACCAGAAAAAAGTGCTCTGAATGTTGTTGATTATGAAAAGGACTGTAATCAGTGCTCACTTCCTGTATAACCCTAAAAAGAAAATCACAAAAGATTAAGAAAACATTAATTCTCATGATGTAATCTAATTCAGAGTACGGACAGGATTGCTAAAGAAAAGTTCTAAGGAGATACGGAGACTCCGGATTGCAGGGGAATCTTTTGTTTAGTGGACATTTTACTCAATAATGGGGAAAATTTTTCTTTGCTATAATGTAAGAAAAATTCTAGTATTCCTTTTTTTTTTTTTACTTTTTTCACTTCACTTTTTGTTATTTTTCTCTGTTCTTTGTTTCTTTGAAAAGTTCTAGCCTTTCCAAGAAAATTGATGATAGAAAATTTCATCATTGTACAAAAATGTGGTAATTGAACAAAAATGATATTAATGCAAAACCTTATCAGATGATAGAAAAATGAATGTGGGGAGATAGTCAATCAGAACTTACAAAAATTGTATGAATGTTATAATTTCAAATCTTTAGTGAGTCCAAATTAATTATTGTACATCAGAGAAGTTATGGAGGCAAATATATGGAAAACTTAAATTTCCTCCACATCTTGATTGTTTTTCACTCTGATATCACATTTAGACAGTTCAGTTCAGATATCCTATCTTATGCTAATGTTAGTTATCTAAGTTTCCTGTGTGTAAACAGCAAACCCCCACTTTTTTTTTCTTAATTATCTGACTTTTAATGGACATGAGAATGTGAAAGGCCTTGTAATGATCACAGCAAATATAATTTGTTTCACTATCAATGCAGCCCCTGAACTAGAGTGGTTTGGAACCATGTCCTCAACACTACCATTTAATCAACTGTTGGTAGCTTCTAAACAAAAAGAATTTCATATATTAAAGCACGAAGAATCCCCATTACTGTTTATTTTACCATGTGTAGACAGAACAAAAATTATAAGCTAAAGTAATATAAATGAACGACTAATTTGTATAGCATATGCTGTCTGAAAATTAAAGACATTCATTTTTTCAAGTGACAAAATTCATTATTTTCTTGGGGGTTTTGTTAATTTTTAACATACATAATAGGCTACATATATGAGGTAGTACCCCCCCAAAAACAGAATTTTTTCCCCAAGCTATGTATTTAATTTTTTTTAACAGAACAACCATATCACCTTCAAAATACTATTTAGTACATTTAATACCTTTGTCAAATCTGTGATTCCATTCTTGGAAACATTTTTGAAACTCATCTATTTAGATGGCTGACAGCACCTCCCTCATTTTTTTCTTTACCTAAGTCATCAAATCGCTGTCCTTTCATGTCCCTTCATTCCAGAAAACAAAAAGGAAACACATGGAGCAAAGTCAGGTGAGTAAGGTGCCTGGGGCAAGAGAAATATACTGTGTTTTGCCAAACACTAACACATTGAGATGCCTGTGTAAGCAGGTGCATTGCCATGGTGGCAAAACCAGTCTCCTGTCTGCCACAAACCAGGCCCTTTTTGGCTCACCCTGTTAATCTTTTCAGAATCTCTAAATAGAGCTAGATTAACAGTCTGGCCTGGTGGAACAAACTCCAAAGTCACTATGCACCTCATGTCAAGAAAAATGAGCATGGCTTGATCTTGGATTTCACTTGATGAGCTTTTGGGGAGGTGAGGTGACGATGGTGTCTTCCATTGGCTTGATGTTAGCTTTTGGGGTCATAGAATAGCACCATGTCTAGTCACCAGTAATGAACTTGGGGGGAAAAGTCTGGGTCGCTTTGGAGCTGTTTTTTCAAAGCACAGCATGTTTCTACTTGCTGCTCTCTTTTTTTTT